CGATCTAGGTCACCGCTGCTATAAACGTGGGGATCAAGGTGATCGCGGGACGCCTATCCCTTCCTCTAGGCTCCTTCATGTCGCTAGATACCTGGTGGGCCTCCCGGGCCCTCAAGTAGGTTGTTGTCGAGCTTCTTGTTGGTAAGCCGCCCCCAGTGTACTACACCATTAGTGAACCTTTTCCAAATTTGTGAACTTTTTTCAAATTTGTGATTTTTTAAAATTCATGAGTTTTTCTCTTATTTGTGTTTTTTCTCAAATTCAATTCTTTTTCAAAAAAAAATCAAATTTGTGAACTATTTCATGTTCGTGATTTTTTTTAAAGAAAGTTGTGAACTTCTTTTGAAACTCATTATTTTTTCGAATTCATGAACATTTTTCAAATCAATGAACTTTTTTCAAATTGGTGAACGTTTTTTGAATTCGTGAACTTTTATTTAATGTAGGAGTATATTTAAATACATGATTTTTTTTTCAAATTTATAATTTTTTTTCAAAATTCGAGAACTTTTTTCTAATGCATGAACCTTTTCCGTGAAATGTCGCCTGTGAACTGTCTATGGTCAATGGTTAGCAGTCAGAGGTCTAAGGTCAAACTGTCAGTGGTCAATAGGTCAAAGGATCAATTGTCAAACAGCGAACCCTCTCGCATGAGCGCGCGCTAACCCCGGCTCACGTCAGAGTCGCTGTGTTGGGCCGGCCCACGATCCTCCTTGCGTGAGCGCCGGTTGCGCTGGGCATCGCTATTTATCACGGGAGCTTCCTATGTGACGCTCTCTGCGTCAGAGAGCCAAGGCTTCCCACAGGGCACGACTCACCTGGGCCGGCCCATATTACGGTGGCCCTCCGCCATGTGCAAAAATGCCAAAAAAGAAATCAAGCGTAGACGTAGGATTCGAACTCTAGGCTTCACAGTTGTGCACGTGCCAAAAAAATATGCAACACAAATTTTGAATAAACAAACTACATCGGCAAAATCTAAACCTTCCGAATCGAAAGAAGGACCTTTTATTTTATTTTTAGAAAAATAGAACCAAGGACCGCCCGTGAACCAAAATAGCTAGCCACTGTAACTCATAGAAACTTTTAACTAAAATAGGAACCCAGTGCATATGAACTATAAGTCGCAACATATTTGAACTTTTTAGAAATGCCGAAAGTTATTTTCAATTTGAAAATTTTAAATGTTTTATGAAACACCAATGTTTCCAATTTATTAACAAAACTTTCAAAAAACATACATTTCATGAAAACCTGAACATTTTTTTAGTTTCTCAAACATTTCTTGAAAAAAGGAACATAATTGAAAATTAGAACAGTTTATCAAATTACGAACAATCTTAAAAAAAATAGAATCCATTTCTAAAAACAGGAACAACATTTGAAATGCGCATTTTCAGAATTATGAACAACTTATTAAAAAACATTTTCCAATTCCCTGAACATTGTTTGAATTTGCAAAAAAATATTTTTTTTTGGAAAAACGAACATTTTTAGAATATGTGAACAAATCTGGATATACTGGAACATCTTTTAAAAATTTCAGATCATTTTTTGATTTGATGAACAAAATTTCAAAATGCTAACATTTTTCAAAATTCTTCAGAAAATAAACTGAATTTGATAACAAAATTGTGAAAAAATGAACAGTTTATGAATTTGGTGAACAAATTTCGAAGGTGGGAACATTTTTTGAAATTCCCATATATTTTCTGAATATCAGAACAAAAACATAAAATGCAACATTTTTAAAATTGTAAATTATAATTTTTTGTATTTTTGATCATTTTTTGTAAAAGAAGCAAATAGTATTTAAAATTCAATATTTTTGGAATTTCTGAACTAAGTTTCAACCCAGGATCATTTCTTAAAAAATGAACAATTTTTTAAAAATGTTATGACTTGATGAAAAAGAAAAAAAGGAAAAGGAACAAAAAGAAAAGAAACAAGAATAGAAAAAACGAAAAAGAAAAAAAAAGAAACGGAAAAAGGAGAAAAAACAAGAAAAAGTAACAGAAAAAAACGAAAAAGAACAAACCATTCAGAAACTTTCTAGAAGGTTGCCAAAATCGGGTAAACTGCCTGGGTACCATCGAGAACGTTCCTGAAACCAATAACATGAGAGCAACTAATTAATGAGCGCTCCTTCAGGAATCTCGCAACGATCAATGCCATTTGGCGCACTCTCAGCCATTCGCCACGTGCCTCGCTCTGGGCGCTCTATCCGGATTTTTTATTTATTTTTCCGCACGCGTTTTCGGCTTTTTAAAGGGTTTTTTTCCTGGTGTTTTCGACGTTTTGGTTTTCCACTGGTCTTCCCTAGCTTTTCGACAAAAAAAATTTGAAAAAAAGTTTTACGCAAAAAAACACGTTTTTTTCGCGAGTCACGGTTTTGCTTTCGCGAGAGTCACGGACGTGCCTCTCGGAAACGAAAAAAATGCGCTTTCTGCTTTTTACTTACGCGAGAGTCATGGTTTTGCTTCCGCGAGAGGCACGGTTGTGCTTTCGCGAGAGTCATGGTCTGCCTCTCGGAAACGAAAAAAAACACGTTTTCTATTTTTTTCCCTTTCGCGAGAGTCACAGTTTTGCTTCCGCGAGAGGCACGGTTGTGCTTTCGCGAGAGTCACGGTCGTGACTCCTCGGAAACGAAAAAAACGTGTTTTTGTTTTTTATTTCGCGAGAGTCATGGGTTTGCTTCCGCGAGAGGCACGGTTGTGCTTTCGCGAGAGTCACGGCCGTGTCTCGGAAACGGAAAAAACGTGTTTTCTCTTTTTTTCCTTTCGCGAGAGTCACGATTTTGTTTTCGCGAGAGGCACGGTTATGATTTCGTCAAAGGCACGGGCGTGCCTCTTTCGGAAAGGGAAAAAATCCGTGTTTCCGATTTTGTTTTTTCGTCCGGTTTTTTTGTGAAAAAAAAGTTCGTCAAAACCCATCAACATGGGATCTAGTTTTGAAGATCTCGACGCGAGGAATCCAACGGCGAAAGCGGTTTGAGATTTGGACGCATGGTTTAAGAGATAAAACGTTTTGAATAAACGGATCTATGAGAAAAGGGAAAACTCCCATCAACATGCAACGCGCCACTTGTCGCAACCTGAGAAAGTTAGAGTGATCTTCGCAATGAGTACTCGATAACTAGTGATTTCTTCCTAAAAAAAACTAGTGATTTCGCAGGAACAGAGGTGCCTGTCTCGCCGCTAAATGGGCCGACCCATGTCGTTCGGTTGTTCGTTCGTTTGGGAGTGTACGAAGCAGGCACAATTTGAAGCAGAATGCGTCAAATAGGAAATCGCATTTATTGCGTTCAGCGAGTCGAGCGTTCCGACTCGCTGAAGCCAGCGAGCATATGGGTCAGCCCACGTGCGTGGGTAAGCCCTGCCTGTTTCCTGCTTCGTTTTCTTTCACGTTTTTTTTCTTTTTTGCTTTCTTTTTTTACTTTTGTTTATACTTTGAAATATTTTAAATGCATATATTACAAAAACATTCTCCCAAAACACATTTGAAAAAATGTTGAACATGGATTAAAAAATGTTGAGCAAGAATCTGAAAAATGTTGAACAAGTATATAAAAAATGTTGAATAAGTATTTGAAAAAGATATGTTGAATATGTATTTGAAAAATGTTGAATACACACTAAAAAAGTTGAACAGGTATATGAAAAATGTTGACAAGTATTTGAAAAATGTAGAACGAGTCTTTGAAAAGATGTTGATCATGTATATACTTTTTTGACCAATTATTTTAATTTTTTTGAACAAGTATTTGAGAAATGCCGAACAAGTATTTGAAAAGATGTTGAAAAAGTATTTGAAAAGATGTTGAACAAGTATTTGAAAAAAATATTGATCATGTATTTGAAAAATGATGAACAGGTATTTGAAAAATCTTGACCATGTATATAAGAATGTAGAATGAAAACAAAAAAGAAACAAAAGAAAAACCAAAAAAATGGAAAACCAAAAGAGAAATAAAAGACAAAAGGAAAAGGAAAATGAAAAAAAAGGGAAAACAAATGAAAAATCCCGGAGTAGAAGAAGAAGAAAAGAAAAGAAAGAAAAGAAAAGAAAACAAAAAAGAAGAAGGAAAAAAAGGAGAAAACCTCTAGTAGGTTGCAATCCTACCAGTAACCAGTAAACACCACGCGGATGGAGTGGTTAGCCGCGCCGGTCGTCACCCTGGAGACTAGGGTTTGATCTCTCTTTGATTCCCTGTTTTTTCAATAATTCGTACGTCAAAATGGGTCGGCACATCACTGTTCCCTCGAAGCGATGCAACCCCACATTGATCGCTGAATGCGATAAATAGCATTTGCGGGTTGCGCTACCTGGCGCAACGAAGGCTAACGAGAAGGTCGCGTACTGTGGGCGCGCTATGATTAACGGTTGCTGTAAACAATATATAGCGTAGACTAAAAAACAAAACAATATATAGCATTAGTTTTTTTAGGGAATATATAGCATTGGATTTTTTGAGGGAATACATAGCATTGATTTTTTAGGGAAACTACGTTGCTTTATTCATCAAAATGTCGTTGGTTTATTTGAGGGAATATATAGCATTGGTTTTTTTAGGGCAATATAGGACTGGTGTGGTTCGCGCGCTGTGTTGCCGATCCAGCCCAGCGATACCTCAATAGGCCTCCGGGGCCTTTTGTGTGAAGAGTTGTTCGGCCCGTAGCCCAACCATGCGGGAATCTTCTTGTAAATAGGACGAGAACGAGGAGCAAAACCTAACCTAGCTCCCATCCCGGTGCCCGCCACCGCCCAAGTCCCTCGCCACCCGCACAAGACCTTGACCAAATCGCCGCGCAAGCTCTACCTCCCCACCCGCACAAGACCTTGCGTGAAGTTCTGTTGATCATCAAGTCAAGTTCAGGTATTATCCGGCGAAAGTCTCCATCTTTAAAGCGAATCTGGCCAATTTGTTTACTTAGTTTATCTCATTTTATTATCAGACAGGGTGTTCTTTTGGTTTGGTTGGGAGACCAGCAACGACGAGGATGAACAGGCGCTTTGTCAATCTGGTGATGCATAACTGGGTCGAAGGCGTTTATTCGGTGCGCCGGATCAATCCTTACAATCATCTCTTCTACCCGTCAGCAAAGGCAGCACTTGAAGCAGCAGATGAAGCAGCAAAGAATAAGGATTATTTTCCAGTGATGCAGTCCCTGCAGCTGCCGGACCCAGGCATCAAGTTCACAACAACTCCCTCTGGTGGCGGTCTTGATATGTTCGCGCTCTTCAACCCCCGCGGCACCAGCGAAGGCAGAATTGTTTTTGGCAATTCGATCGGCGAGGCTGTGCTGTACGACGCCGACAAGCAGCTCATCAACACCATGGGTTACCTCCACGAGCCTAAGGGAGTAGACCCCATGTGCCTGCCTATCGTGCACCCTGGTACCGACCAAGATAGCTTGTATGTCCTGGACAGTTACCCCGGGAAGGCTGATGGTCGATGCTTCGAGGTCCTTGAGTTCATGCCCGAGTGCAGTGAACTGAGCAACTTGTGGACGACCTGGCGTTGGCGACTACTTCCACCGCCTCCTTTTGTCCACCAACCTGGGTATAAACCTTCCTCTGTTCTCTCTTACACTACCACAGTCGACAGCTATGGCTTTTCCACCATCTACATATCATGTGAGGGCAGCATCGGCACATATAGCTTTCAGACAGCACACCATGACTCCAAGCACCGTCGACGATGGAGCCACTCGGAAGAATGGAAGCACGTCGGGCAGTGGAAGTTGCCCTTTAATGGCAGAGCTCAGTACATCCCTGAGTTCAGCCTGTGGTTTGGCTTCTCAGCCTTCAGGCCCAACAACCTGTGTGCTGTGGACCTCTCTGCCATGGTCCATGAGCGAACACCCATTGAGCAGCAAGTTTGGCAAGACCTGATCCCACCTGAGGGAGTGGCGTGGATTCCATTACGCCGTGAGCTTCTCAACCTGGGCGATGGCAAGTTTGTCATTGCTAAGACCTTTGAAGCAGAATCAACTGGTCAGCAGTTTGCTGTGCTCACTGGCGTAGAGATGATGCATGATGTTGGTGATGATCAGACCCTTCAGATGGTCAAGCACAAGTGTGCACGCTATGCCTTCACGACTGATGCCATCAAGTGGGTGCTCTGAAGGAATAATTTGCCGCATTTGTTATGCAGTCATCTATTTCCTTCCTAGTAGGTCTATTTGCATAATTAAAGCTTTCTGAGTTCGGCCTGTCTATGAGATTGTTACGAACTCTACAATCTTTCCTGTCTGGAAAGTGAACATTGTATCATGTTGAATGATCTGGATGGCTGGTTTTTCTGTTTCTTTTGTTGGCCGGTGAGCATGCATGGTTTTTCAGATCAAGAGCTTCCTTCTGTACTATCTACAAGTTGATTGTAACTCTGCTGGGTGAGCATGCATGTTCTTGTTTAGATCAAGTGCTACCTTCTGTATTGTCTACAAGTTGTTTGCAACTCTTCTACTCCCTCCGTTCCAAAATAGATGACTCAACTTTGTATAAAGTTAGTACAAAGTTGAGTCATCTATTTTGAAACGGAGGGAGTATTAATCAAGAGGAAGAGCACTACAGACCCACAAACTTGTGAGGTGGTTGATGGTTTAGTCCACAATCTTGCAAACTGTGATCCCGCCACCCCAACTTGCAAAGCGGTCGGATCCATTCTGGTGGCAGTCCCCTGTCGCGGGTGAAGGCCACCGTGGCGGAACTGGCTTTGCACCGCTCGGTCGATGCTGCGGCTCCTAGTCGATATTGAAGGTGATGGCTTTAGGCGTGTTCCCTCGGCAGTGAAGGGGGCTTCGATAGCAAGTTGTTGCGGTGACGGCGGTGTGAGGCATCTGATCGGGACTCGCCGGGATCTTGGAGACGTGGAGATGTGCAGCGCTACGGATGAAAATCCTGTTCGGTTGTGACTGGACCGGCGTTGATGGCACCTGCGGGTGTCATTCACCTTCCTGGAGGCTTCGTTGAGTGCAACGCCATCTTCCTCGCGACCTCGTATCGGCAGCTGTCTCCGGGCGAAAGCCTTGATTCGTAGGATCGGCATGATGGCAACAGTCTTTGAGGTTGTTACTCTGTTGGGAGCATTGTGCTGGGAGACTCGAGGTCCCATGATGCGCTCCTTCGGTGTTCACCGCTGCCTAGATCTTTCTCCTCCGGCGCCATGTACGGTCGTCGCTGGATAATCCAAGGAAGATGGAGTTGCTGTTCTTCAGAGGTCTTTGGTGTCGGCCAAGACGCGGCGAGGGGCTCGGTGTTGGGTAGGCTTTTTGTGTCGTAGTTGTGTTGTTGTGTTTGGTTGTCCTTGTACGATCCGGGTGTGGAGTTGGTCGCCTTCGTTGTTCGCAGCGAGTGATGGACGTTGTTGTATGTCTTATTTCTCTCCTTCTATAAAGCTAAGGTACGCAATTTGCGTATCCTCGAAAAAAGTCCACAACCAACCGTCCGTTGACATCTGGCGCCATGCTGGCCATATTGTGGCCGAGCCGTGGCTTGCAGTTTTGTGAAAAGAATACTTTCACCTTTCTTGAAATCACACCCGTACATGGCTGGGCCGCACTGGTTATTTGATGGCCTCAATCTATACCTCTATACCCTTTTCTTATCATCGTAATTTTGTCCGTTTTATGTCCATCCACCTCGCTCCCATATTTCCTTATTTTACTTTGCTAACCAAGGTGGTATTTTTTTTTTCAAAACGAAGACAAAAGTTTTGCCTTATCGATTAATTAAGAAGAGAATTGCCCGGTTAATTAACGGAAAACCGGGCGAAAACCGATACATATAAACTACATGCGGACTATTCGCTAATAAAGAAACTCGATGACCCCCCGATCAACCCGATAAACATACATAACACGCAACAACCATGATCCGTCACACTTCTACGTCGCAATGAAACTCCCAACGAAACTAAGGTTGAATACAACGGACACCAGCCAATCCACGGAGACGAGCCAATCGGAGATGGTGATCGGAGAGACTGAGTATCATCCATTAAGCAGCCACGGACGCCTTACCAATGGTGCCACTCTTTTTGCCTATGCTCCTGAGAGCCTTCTTCACCTTCTTGATTTTTCCCGTAGAAGCCTCCTCCGCTAGGAGGCCGGCAATCGCCTTGCCAGACCCCGAGCTAGCTGCCTCCAAACCAGCGAGCAAGCGGCAAAGCTTTTTCGCGAAGACCACCTCATCAATACGTGCCATCATACTTTCACGGTCAAAGATGGGCAATCTGATGGTCTTCAACACTTCAGAATTAGGTGCCAAAGCACACACCTCATCAACCTCGGCACCCACAGATGCCACCTGGCCAACAGTCACAGGTGGAACAACAATAGCAGCATCCAAACCCCCACAGTCCACAAAGGTGATCAAGTGACTAGGCTCCAACGACGGTGGTGAGGTCGCAGTCGACATCGCCAAGGCCCCTCCAAGCGACTCCATCTCCTTAGGAAGCATCATCAAAATAGGCGAGGTGGGCTCCTCATAAAGCTTCTGCAGCTCAGGCATAATCTGCAGCACCGAAGTAACGACCTCAACAACGGTTTCACTCTCAAAAGTAATCGACACGACATGCAGCGATGACAGGCAGGATGTAGCACGAGGGGAGAGATCTCCATACATGTCTGCTTCCCCATTGGCAGAACCATCGTGGATCTTGGGCAACAAGGACACAACTGGCACATCCTGGAGCTTGGCGAGAGAGGCCTATGCACTTGCCAAAACACTCCCAACTCGCGCAATGCAGTCGAGAAGCTCAGCGCGGAATAGCCCAGTCTGCTCCACAAGGACGGGCTACAATGCCACATCAACTGGTGTTGCATCGACATTTGACACATGCACTGGGGTGGATGGTGGAGCAGCATGTCGCAGTGTCGTAGTCTGGTCGGTGCAGTGCTGTGCACGACAGAAACACACTTTGTGGCCAAATTGAAGGCATCCCATGCACCGGAATGGGTCCCTGCACTCATGAGCACGGTGACCCTTGGAGAGGCACCGAAAGCAACAGTCTCTCAGCCATGCCGGGGTAGCTGGCCGAGCTATGGATGCAGAGTCACAGCAGGGCACGCGAGGCAACGAGCGACGCGCCGATACAAGGTGCCATCCATCCAGAAGATCCCTAGGACGCGCGGGCACGCCGCACACTGGAACACCGTGCGTTGCATCCCGAACGAAGCAGACACGCCAATCACCGCAACCTGAACGTGTGGGAGGCGCGCCGTCCCCTTGGACGGAGTCACTTGGCAGCGGCAATGACATTCGAGAAGGAATGGCCAGCGCTAGAGGGGCCAACAGCTTGCTGAGAGTAGAGGTCGACGGAGCGGTGGCAGCAGGATCCGGCTCCCCTTGGACCAGATGCAGGGGACTAGTGGCTGGCTTGACTGCCATATCAGGACCTGGCAGGGGTGGACACGGCGCCAGGCGGACAGTGGAGGCGTCGACCAGAGGAGCGGAGAGTGGCGGGGTCGAAGATGTCGCTTTGGCTGGCTCGGTGAGGTGAGGGGTCCATCGGCCACCCACAGATGGGTCGGACCTGCGGAGAGCAAGCACATCGGCGGAAGCTTCAGACTTGGTGCGCGCGTTGCTGCCTGAAGATGCGGCCGCGAGGTTGGGAGAAAGTGTCACCAGGGGCGTCACCAAGAGCACATAAGCCCTAATGGCAGAAGCAGAGCCGCGACCAGCCGCTGCCGGCGGCAGGAGCATGGAGACCCGATCCAGATCCTCCCAATCCAGACTAAAACGACAAGGGACGCAGGCTCCAGATCCTCCCAATCTGGACTGAGAGAACCGATCCAGGGGCGGCAACACGGCCAGTGGCGGAGGCAGCGTGCCCGAGGCGGTTCCAACCAGCAGGGAAGCAGCGGCAGCGGTGGGCGGCGGGGCCAGAGTGGCGGCGGTCGCGAGAGCGCTCCCATGCCCCATTCCTTGCAGTCGCGAGAGCGCTCACACTTTGGCTTTTTTTATTTCTTGAGGTGATACAATTTCAACCCGCAGTCCATTCCTAGAGCTCGTGCCTCGCTCGGTCTTTCGCACGCATGCATCAAGCGCGGCGGCGGAATCTTCAGACCTGGTGCGCGGGTCGCTGCTTGAAGATGCGGCCGCGAGGTTGGGAGAGAGTGTCACGAGGGGCGTCACCAAGAGCACACCAGCCCCAATGGAAGAAGCAGAGCCGCGGCTAGCCGCCGGCGGCGGCAGGAGTGTGGAGATCCGATCCAGATCCTCCCGATTCAGACTGAAAGGGCAAGGGACGCAAGCTCCAGATCCTCCCGATTTGGACTGAGAGAACAGATCCAGGGGCGGCAACGCGGCTGGCGGCGGAGGAAGCACGACCGAGGCAGTTCCAACCAGCAGGGAAGCAGCGACAGTGGTGGGCGGCGGGGCCAGAGTGGCGGCCGCCGCGGGTGGTCGCAAGAGCGCTCCCATGCCCCGTTCTTTGCAGTCGCGAGAGCGCTCACATTTTTGGCATTTTTTAATTTCTTGAGGTGGTACTAATTTCAACCTGCAGTCCATTCGTAGAGTTTGCGCCTCGCGCGGTCTTTCGCACGCAGGCATCAAGCGCGGCGGCGGAAGCTTCAGACTTGGTGCGCGCGTCGCTGCCTCTGCCTGTTTCCTGTTTATTTTTTTCACTTTTTTTCTTTTTTGCTTTCTTTCTGCTTTTGTTTATACTTTGAAATATTTTAAATGCATATACTACAAAAACACTCTCCCAAAAACACATTTGAAAAAAAATGTTGAACAAGGATTAAAAAATGTTGAACAAGAATCTGAAAAATGTGAACAAGTATTTAAAAAATGTTGAATACGTATTTGAAAAAGATATGTTGAATATGCATTTGAAAATGTTGAATACTTACTGAAAATGTTGAACAGGTATATGAAAAATATTGACAAGTATTTGAAAAATGTTGAGGAAGTATTTGAAAATTTTAGAACAAGTATTTGAAAAGATGTTGAACAAATATTTGAAAAAAATATTGATCATGTATTTCAAAAATGTTGAACAGATATTTGAAAAATCTTGACCATGTATATAAGAATGTAGAATGAAAAAAAGAAACAAAAGAAAAACCAAAAGAAATGAAAAACCAAAAAAGAAACAAAAGACCAAAGGAAAAGGATAATG